TCCGCCATTTTTGTAAAAATTAATTGATAGAGAAAACCATAATCAAGGAGTAACTGTGGAGTTAACTCAATGATTTCCCCTTTATATAAAAACTGAATGGGTTCATAGGAGGATAGATCTAGAGAAGCTCTGCAAATGCTATAAACGAGTTGACATTGACAGTCATTTCTTTCAAGTGGAATCCCATCTGCAGTCTCCCCTTCACACCTATTACACCTTTTGAGTCTTCCTTCTGTAGTAGAATAATAGGTGTCTCATGTGAAGCCTATACCAGATCGGTTAATACCATCCTCGGCTATCTGTTGAAGGAATTGTTGAATTGCCTTCAATTTAGCATGGCTTGAAGCTTCTGCTTTCTGGAAAATTAGCTGTCTTGAATCATCTGGCAGCTCGGGTAAGGGAACATGTGGATTGAAATACATCCTGAGTTGCCTCTGAGTGTCATCCACTAATGGAATAGATGTAGAAGTTGAGGAGGATCCTTCGATTAAATATTGATTAATTCCCAGTAGGGGAACTAATTGTCTTCCACCCGCTAGTGGGGCTAAGGTGGTCTTCACGATTTCTCCTGAAGGTTCCTGCAAATCTGGAGAAAGATGAGGGCTAACCAAAAAGCTGTCTCCAAGCCGCTGTTGAGCAAATTGGATAGCTTCTTCAATTAGATAAAACCCTTTATAGAGTGGTTTTCTAAAATCTCGTATTTGAAACAAGATCTCGTCCCACTTCTTATAAACTCCAGGGGTTTTTCCCTTGATTAGAACATAATAATTAAATTTATTATATTTTTTCAAATACTGGGCTAAAGTTTTTAAATTATTCTCAAAAAGGTTCAAATTGTCGAAGCTCTCCTGAATGTTGTTTAGAAGTTGATCAGCAACTGGATCCAAATGAGACCTTCTGTACAGGACCTAGCTCTAGAGGTGTTGCCTCTATCGCTGGCTTTGCCTTATGTCGAGCGTCTCATTCTGATCCTGCACAAGAGAAGAATAAACATATCTACTTAGCCAGTCAGCAAGATAATTATCTTTACTTTTAATATGTTCAAATTTTACTTTAAAACCATTTCCAGTTATGATATTTACAAAATTCATCCATCTTTTAGAAGAAAGACTTTTTTCATTTTTCTTCTGAAAATATTTTACAATTGCTTCACAGTCTATTCTAATTGTAAAAACATCATTTTTAATGAAAAGTCTGAAAGAATTTAAAGCATTTATAACTCCTAATATTTCAAAATCAAGAGAGGTTAAAGAATTTTTACTTTCTCTGTACAAACCACTAGAATATCTACAAATCTTTTCTTCTTTTTGAGATGAGAATTCTTTAGGTCTAACTAACAAAATTGCTCCCCATCCTTCACTACTACTATTAGTTTCGACTATTTTGTAGTCTGATTCCAATGGTAGAGTTAGAGAGGGTAACTTTTTAACTTCATCTTTTATTCTTTTTACAAGTCTGACGTCCTCACTATTGAAAAACTTTTGTCCTTTGGGACTAAGTTTTGCATATAATGGTCCAGTCAGTTTAGATAGATCCTTTATATACATTCGGGCATAATTGAGTATACCCAAGAATTTTTGAAGTTCTTTAGTTTCCTCGATTTTGTCAGGAAAGTCAAGAATCTTCTTAACTATGTGATTCTGCAACTGAATTTTTCCCTGTCCAATCCTCATTCCTAAAAATTCAATGTACTCTTTGGAGAGTTCCATTTTCTTTTTAGAAATTATAAGGCCACTTTTCAGGAATTCAGTGAAAACAACCTGCAGGTGCTTGATATGCTCAGTCTCAGTTTTGCTGAAGACGAGAATATCATCTATGTAAACTAAGACAAAATCAGAATATTTTTTGAATATCTGATCCATCTTTCTTTGAAAAATTGAAGGTGCATTTTTTAATCCAAACAGCATGACTTGCCATTCAAAATGTCCTTCGGGACAAGTGAAGGCGGTCCATGGAATGGATTCTTTTTCCATTTTGATCTGCCAGAAACCAGACTTACAATCAAACTTGCTAAAATTTTTTGAATTTTGAATGCAGTTGATTAGTTGGTCCTTATCTGGTATTCTATATGCATCTTCATAAGTGTTATCATTTAGCCTTTTATAATTTATGACCATTCTAGCCTTCCCTCGTTTGATTTCTGCATGATTTCTTACCATGAATGCTGCAGAGGAATGTCTAGAACTGGAATGCTTTATGACTCCTAAGGCTAAAAGTTCTTTTATTTGAACCTCAAATTCTTGCCTGTCAAGTGGCGGAAAATGATTCCTGATAAGTTGCCCGCCAAATTTCGAAACGGGCACGACTCAATGTTGTGATAATCTTCGCCAGGAAAAAAGGGTGGAACACTGGAACCCATCCTTAAAAATTGGCCAGATTCATGTGATGTGACCCCATAATATTACACAAAAGATGTGGAATCATTGTTTAAAACGGAAGGTTAAAAAGGCATGATATATTTTCCCCCGAAAAAAAAAAAAAAAAAAAAGGTTAAATGCTAAATTTGGTCCCTCAACTTTAGTGAGTTGCACATTTTTGGTCCGTCAATAATTTTTTTGCACTTTTTTGATCCCTCAACTCTAAGAAATGCATACCGTTAGTCCTTCTGTCAATTCAGACCGTTAACTCCGCCATGTGGCATTTTTTATATTTTTTTTATGATATGGCGAAAACAACTTTAAAAAGTGCTGATTTGAAAATTTTTTTGATGACATGTCAATGCCAACTCGTAAACTAAATTTGTTTAAGATTTATATTTTTAATAAAAAGGTTAAACCCCCTTTTTGGTCCCTCAACTATCGTACGGACCCCCGATTGAGTCCCTCAACTCAAAAAATCCCTGACTTGGTCCTTATTGTTTACCATTTTAACCCCGACTTGGTCCCTCCGTTAAAAATCGCATGACGTTTCATATTAATTTACGGTAACACTATGACATATCAAAACACGTGGAAGACACCATGGCAAACAATAGTGATATGGAAAAAAATAATAATATGGTAAAAAATA